CTATTCCTACTTTTGGTAATTGTTGCAGGAAATTAGAGTTCTCCAACACTTAAAGCATCCAAATATAGTACAGTATTATGGAAGTGAAGTGGTGTGTTGTTCTTCCGATAGAATATGCTAGATTTGAGTGTGTTTGTATTAGTGCAGATATAATTCGTTCAGGGAACATTTTTTCCACTGCAGGTTGATGATCACTTTTACATATATCTGGAGTATGTTCATCCCGGATCTATTAATAAATATGTCCGTGACCATTTTGGAGCTATAACAGAATCTATAGTTCGCAATTTCACCCGACATATTCTCTATGGGCTGGCTTACCTGCATAGCACAAAGACAATCCACAGGTAACAATTGTGCTTGACATGGAGCAGAGCATTATAGTTTAACTTATTTGTTAATAGTTTATGATTACACTTTGCAGATTGCTAAAGTCCATATATTTTCTTAATCTTGTAAAAAGGCGACAGTAAAATTATCAATGATGTTTTGGAAGAATTGAATGACTGCTTACTTTATAGTCTTTACTGTTTTGACATACTTGCTTGTTGAATTTGGATTTTGTTGGAGAAGTGGCAGATTTTTTGGTTATAAACTTTTTGCTTTGGTCTATGAATATACTTATCTAAATGATTATAATTTATAGGGATATTAAAGGTGCAAATCTGCTTGTTGATGCATCTGGTGTTGTAAAGCTTGCAGACTTTGGGATGGCAAAACATGTGAGTTTTGAGATTCTTTAGCTCTATGTAGTAATGAATATTATTTTTGTTTGATCTATTGTAATCTGAGAGTATGCTTCTCAAACATTATCTTTTAATAGATCGTGTTCATTGGTATCTTTCCTAGCTAAGATTTATCTGTAAGAGTGTTTTGCTTGAATGTTTATTAACATAAGCATTCATTATTAATGATGGATGAAAGGAGCATCCTTGTGGTTGTATGATTTTAGCATCCATTGGACATGAGTAAATTACATAATAGGAGCCTCCTTTTTTGTGTATGTCAAGTACATAACCATAATAGTGTTGACATTAGGCTGGTAAGCATGAAGCAAGTGGTCAGATAACTATTCTACTAATAATTGATAGGATGTTTTAGACATCTTATTCTGAAATTATATAGAGTATTGATTGAATTTATATTGGTTACTATCATTTTTATGGAGGTCATTTTGAAAGAGTAACCCCCCTTTTGCAATTATGTTTACATGCAATTCTGTCTAAACATGTGGCTTTTTGACTTGGCATCAGCTATCCATCACCGGTGTGCCTGTAGTTTTATATATTTTATTTTTTTTCTTAATATGAGTCTTGTTTGTATTCAGCTAACAGGATTATCATATGAGCTATCTTTGAAGGGCAGCCCATACTGGATGGCTCCTGAGGTACATCACCATATCACATTGCAGTAGTTAGTAAATTCATTTCTGTTTATACCTCCTTCTTTTTCATTATTGTTTTTTCGTTTTTATTTTTTTGCAGGTGATGCAGTCTGTAATGCAGAAAGATGCCCACTCTAATCTTGCTTTGGCTGTTGACATTTGGAGCTTAGGTTGTACTGTAATTGAGATGCTTACTGGTAGACCTCCATGGGGTGAGCTTGAAGGGGTTAGTACTTGATTAAAACTAATGTCTTTTCTATTCATTGGTATTTCAGCATGCCCAATACTTTGACGGTTTAATATGAACTGGAACCCAATTTTATTTACCCGATAAGGGTTAATGTTTGTATTAGTAAATTAATTGTAGTTAATGTTTATTTATGTATAATTGATTCTCTACGCTATTAGTTCAAGTTCTTTTTATAAAGATTGAATTATGCATTGTAACATAAATTCACTAGCATGCATAAGGTCACTGGACCTCTGAATACCTGTGAATAAGCAGGTGCAACTGCTGTTAATTGCTTCTTCTTTCTTTTAGCAATCTGAATTCTCTTTTCATTGAAGAATTTCAGACTCATTTTTTTATTATGTAGATATTTAAAATTTGGAAAATTTCTCACTTTTTCATGTCATCAACTCTTTTACAATTTTTCACTCTTAAATTCTGAGTTCTATAGTTAATTGCTCTGCTTCCAGGTGAATTAGTGACAAACTTTTAAATCACATGGGAGATTCTGCTTTAAGAATTTAGAACATCTTCCGTAGCTTGCTTTCCTGATAGCATATGCTGCTTGTTGATGATTTTCTTTTTCATGTTACTGAATGGGCTTATAGCTTGATTTCTGATATGGTGATTTACTTACAAAATCAAAGAGAGAACGCTCATTTCTTGTCTTCATGTTTTCTGTAAGGGTTTGCACATGATCTTTTCTCTACCAATCACTTTAATAGTCTCATCTTCTATTTGTTAGCCTCAAGCTATGTTCAAGGTCTTGCATAAAACCCCGCCTATACCAGAAACATTATCTTCAGAGGGAAAGGATTTTCTCCAACGCTGCTTTCGAAGAAATCCTGCAGAGCGACCATCAGCTATGATGCTACTTGAGCATCCTTTTGTCCGTAACTCAAATGATCAAAATTTATCAGTCTTGGCGCAGGGTATTTCGAAAATGAACCTAACGGTATGTACTACATACCACCTGTCGGTTTCAGCTGATTATAATGTCCAATTGGTTTGATTTTATTTTTCCTTCCACAACTTTGACGTGCAAATATTATTGTATACTGATGGTATGTTTCTGCTTTTGTAGGATAGATCTCATAGTCCAATAGACCGTGCTGCACAGAAAGTTGATTTTATACCAAATTCGCCAGGCACACCACCACGTAGAGATAGGAAGCAGCCTTGTAATAGGTAAATGCATCATGTTCCCCTGAACTAGTTGCAGGGTTGTGTGGAATGAATGATTTCACCTCAGCATGACTAAATGTTTTGGCTCGATGCAATATAATTCTTTATTCTTTGTGTTTTTCTTTTCCAGTGAAACCTTTCGCCAATGTTATACATTTAACTGGGCTACAGCTTCTCATCACTCTCCATGTTCTACGCTTGGAGTAAATCGTTCTTTACCTACAGGTCAATTGATTCATAATTCACATAATTTTAGTCCCTCGTCAAACGACTCTAGCAATATGGCCCTTGGTGCAGTGAACAACCACCCTTGTGCTCTCTCAAGGACTCATGGAAGGGAAGTTCCACACATCTGATACATGTTATTGGTTGAAATTGATTTGGTAGTGAGCCCGGGAGAGAAGCTAGCAAGAGGCGAGAAGCCGGTTTTGATTTTGGGTTTAAACTGAGTAGAGGTTAAATTTTAGTTTTTCATTTTTAACCTCTAATTCCTGCTATGTAAATACAGGGTGTATTATGTGGGAAATCAACACGGCTGGATGAGAAAACTGGTACCTTCTTGTTTAGTAGGTTTTGTGTTAGTGTTTGTTATATAATGTAACCAGGAAGAAAAATTTAGTGTCATGTTTTGGTTATGTGACAAAGGAGATAAAATAAGCTGATAAAAATTAAGTGACATTATTTTCATATTTTTGTCCAAATGAAATTCATCCTTGACAACCAGCTCTCATCAACAACTTCATTTGTTGGATTTTTCATCATATTTATATCAAATAATGTCATTGTTGTATAATTAAATAGATAAATGGGAGATAAAATAAGCATTAAAACAGTTTTTTATCAGGCTGATTGATGAAGTTTATGCTTTGAGCAATACAAGAACCAATACCCATAATCTTGATAATCTTAAAATTATAGCAATAATTGAATCCACAACTTAAACTTTATATAGGTGATAACAAGGAATGTCTTGTCACAACTTTTCAAATCGAGTTTATGCGAGCAGATTTTGAAATTAGGGGGGCGTTTGGTTAAGGAAATATTATATTATTGGAAAGTTAGATTACCTTGAAGATTACTGAGAATATTTAGGAAAATGTGTTTGGTTAATTGGTGGACATGTTATATTATTATGTTTGGTTATGAGGAATAAATTGGTGGTATGTTATTTAAATTACTGAATTGTCCTCTAATTAAATATAATAATTATATTATTTTTTAATCTTAATTATTATTTGGATTATTATAACCCCGCTTTATTTCAAAACTTAGCAAAAACAATCCCATAATAAAAGTTTAGAAAATCAACAAAACACCCCCACCAACCGAGCCACTGTCGGTTGCCTACGGTAACTTAACGGGGCACGGAAGGCAGGAAATGACCTCCGTGTGCTGTATGGCCATTTTCGGCTAGAGATAGATGTGACAAATCTAGCCTTTGATGGTTAGACTAGATATGGCCAGAAATGGCCATATCGACGCACGACGGCCACTTTTGGCCTTTCATGCATCGTTCCGGTGGCTGTCGCAGTGGTGGTTGCCGGCGATAGGCGGGTGGGGTTGGTGGACTGAAATTTGTTTTGAATTTAAGGGTAATTTTGTCAAAAAAGTTATTTAATTAGAGTAAAATAGTAAAAGCTATATTCATGTAAATAAATTTAAAAATAAGGATATTATTATCCTAAAATTTTATTAATAATTGATAGAATGGTAACAAAAAAAGAAGATTACTTAAGAAAATGAACCTTCAATATTATTAACAATAACTACTATTGATATTTAAAGATTACCTTGACAACCAAATATGATATTCACGTAATATAACATAGGTTACCCTCAACCAAACGGATATAACATAGCATAGGGATATAAACGGATTATTTTGATTCAGTTGCATAAATATAAAGGAGCTTTTAATAATAAATTATATTAATACAAAATCAGCTATGGTTGGATAAACTAATATAAAAATAAAATAAATATTTTCTCAAAATATTAGACATTTGGCGCTCCCAAAATCTAAAATGTATTCTCCTGCCTAATTAGAAGTACAGATCTACACTGCATCAACTTCTCAAAAGGCACCGGAGCGGAAGGCAAAGCACCTCAGCCTTCGCTTCTCTCCTCTTCCCTCCTGTTTGAGAAATTTATGAACAAAGAAGACGTAGAGCTTTTTTTAGTATTCAATTTGGTGGGTTCTTGATTTTATATATTTATCACTCCTCATGGAGATAGGTAAGTAAAATTTAATTTCAATTCTGTTTCTGGATAACATTTGCTTCTACTTTACTGTTCGGGAATGATGGTGATTAGGTATTTACATTCTCAACCAATATCTCTGAACCTATAGATGTTAAATATTCTCTGCAGACGGAGCCAAAGTACAAGTTTCTCAAAGTTTAATTGATAAGATTTACAATGTGTTTTCTGACGGGATGCACTTTGCCGCTCCAGTATCATCCTTGAGGATGAGTGAAGTGGACTTGGTATGCTTATGCCTTTGGCTTATTTCGCTTTAAGATTTTATGCCATTTGAAGGTTTTCAAATTTTGTTTCTTTAGGTACGAGGTGTTTTACAAATGTTTCAAGGCTTTTCCAGTTCCTTGTTCTATTGGGACCAAAGTGGACACAAGTTTCGTGCCAAAACTGGGATCTATGTCACTCACCTTTCCCTTAAGAGTTTACATGTCCTTCTCAATCAATTCACTTATGGAGCAACATGTTTAAAACTGGTGGAAATTGCGGTCGGTAGGGTGGAGACCTTTACGAGAGTAACTTCCCCTACTTTGAGGGCATTTTCATGCTCCGTTTCTGAATGGCTCAAGGTATGTAGTTCTGAATATTAATTTGTTGGATGAAATTTCTCTGTTTTCTTCATGTAAACACTCAATTGATTTTTCTTTGGCGTAGAGATTGAGGAATATTGCTTTGAAGGAAGAAATGAAAGTATGTGAGCCAAATGTTGGAATTTCGACAACCCTACTGGGATTAGCAAATTCCTTGTCAAGGTTGGTGTATAATAGCTTTAAAAGCTTTATTTTTCCAAATTGGGGGATACGTTTGATGGATGTAGTTTGCGCAATGTTGTTGAATAGCTATCATTGATTTTGAAGACTTTTGGTTTGATATATTTCTGTCCTTGTGACTCAGGTTTTATTTCAACTTTCATTGGAGTTCATTATTTAATACCCTTGAGCGTCTTAATTCCTTCTCCCCTTGGTTTTGCAATATGCTGATCATTATTATTTTTATTTATTGTAGTCTTTGTTCAGGTGCTGAATATCTGTTACAAATAGTGAATGGAGCCATTCCCCAAATATATTTTGATTCTAATGTGTCTGCTGCTGAAATGGCTGTTCATGTCCTTGATTATCTTTACAAGAAAGTAGATGAAGTGTGTCTTGTTCAAGGTGGTGAGGTCGTAGCTACTTCTTGGCAGTATATATTTCTTTTGTATTTAGTTTCATGTGGCTTTCCTGATTTACACAATACAAACTTGAAGCTTGTGGTAATGTTCAGGAGGAAGTGTATCAGATGCTACTTCATATATTTGTTGGAAGTTTATTGCCATATATCGAGGGTCTTGATTCCTGGCTTTTTGAAGGAACGCTTGATGATCCATTTGAAGAGGTAATTGTTGATCAAAACTTTTTATGATATCCCAAACAATCTATCTATGTACCATCTTATGGTTTAAGTAATTCCTGATTTATGGAGTGATAAGATTGTTTGACATGCACATTCTTTGCCAAAGTTAATTTCAATGCAACGATGGAAATGAACATTTATATACCAGTTCATAGGACCTGAAATTGTCTTCCCTCTCTGCTTGTTTCTTTCATGTGATATGCTCTTTAAGTATTGTAGCCTTTTTCCTCTCCCTGCAGATGTTCTTTTATGCTAACAGAGCAATCTCAGTTGATGAGGCTGACTTCTGGGAAAAGAGCCATCTACTGAGACTATTACAGAGTCGGAAGTTAGATGCCAGACCCTCTGCTCTTGCTTCAGAAAGTTGTCATGTACGTATGACAACTGAAAAGAAGGAAATGAGTGAGAAGGAATCCATTTCCCTCTCTAGCTCCATGAAAGGGAAAGATCAGAGCGATGGAGACCTTCAAGTTTGCCCTTTATTTATTAAGGACATAGCTAAGTCAATTGTTTCTGCTGGAAAATCATTGCAATTGATCCGGCATGTTCCTTCAGCATTTGCAGCAGTACCAGGAAAGAATAAGGATAATGATTTTGATGGGTTGGGAAATTATGAAGGTGGTGCTGATTTAAGCAAACTTCATCGTGGACAGAGCATAGCTGGGTTGACACTGTCTGAAATTTTCTGCGTGTCATTAGCAGGTCTTATAGGCCATGGTGATCACATTTCTAGATATTTTTGGCAAAATGACCAATGCAAATCTAAGTTTGTCCCTTCACCTGTGTCCGACATGAATGGGCGGATGATGGAGAATGGGAATGATGAAACTGTTGCAGCTTTAACATGCTCAGAGAAGATGTGGTATAAGTTATTGGTTGATACATTGTTACAGAAAAGGGTGAATGAGAGGTTTGCAAGTGATTTTCCCAACATGAAAGAAGATGATATGGCTATAGATATTGACAACGAGTTGCCCTTACCCATCCAGAAATCATTCTGTCCAGAAAATCCTGTTCTTACTGTATGTAAAAAATTACTCAACAAGAATAATGATGCCCGAAAAGCGCTGAACTTGTCTAGAAATTCCTATCTTCCCCCTTTAAATGATGAGATCTTACGAAAAGCTCTTTTGGTTGGAGAGGGAGAAAACTTTTCTGGAGTTGAAGGAACAAGCTATTCTTTTGGTTTCCAGTTTGGTGAATCTGAATATCTGCGTTCTCAGTATGATTCAAAGCTGTTAGAGGTCCTGTTTCCCTTCCCCACTCTTCTTCCATCTTTTCAGGTACAACTATATCAATAGTTCTCTGAGCAGTTCTGTAGCTGCAGCTTCAATGGCATTTTTGAGTTTTTCTTAACATTACCCAAATTTGAAGCAGGATGAACTTCATATGTCTGAGCTGTTACCTTTCCAGAAGAATAGCACCCTTCCATCAAGAGTTCTTAGCTGGATTCAAAGTGTTGAACCAAGAACTACTCCACTTCCTGTGGTTGTTATGCAGGAATGCCTCACTGTTTACATTAAGAAGCAGGTATATTGGCATGCCTATTCATGTTGTTTTAGTTTCTTTTCATATAAGCATTCTGTTGAAAACTTCAGCTTTTACCTGTCCTAGGTGGATCATATTGGCAGGCTTATATTGTCAAAGTTGATGAATGGCTGGAGATTGATGGATGAGCTTGCAGTCTTGCGTGCTATATACTTACTAGGTTCAGGTAGGTGCTAGGATGTTGAATTCCGATTTCTGGTCTCAGTTATTTGTCATCTCAACAAACAAAATAAATTACATGTTGTGGTACCTTGCTACTTCAGGTGATCTGCTGCAGCACTTTTTAACAGTCATTTTCAATAAGCTGGATAAAGGAGATACCTGGGATGATGATTTTGAATTGAACACTATATTACAGGTGCAAACACTTACTTCAACAAGCACTAAGCCATTTGTTTGGGGTTATATGTGGTATAACAATCCAAACTCTCCAATCTTGCTGAAAGAATATGAAGTTCAAATCATAATGAAATAGATTGTGAAAGTTCTTTCCTTGGATTTTGTTGGATGAGGGGGTTTGGACTACATTCTGGTCAACAACTGCTACTGTTTAATGTGTGAAATTTATGTGATAACATCTGCTTCGGTGGATTTCAGTTTCTCTTGCCCTTTTTCTATCCTTATTATAGTAATGGTCTGTGCTTATGACTTCAGGAATCCATCAGAAATTCTGCTGATGGCATGCTACTAACTGCCCCAGATTCATTGGTGGTCTCTATCACCAAAAATCATGGTTTTGATGGTGATGAGCAACCTAATACAGTTAACTTTACTTCAACTCCTCGTAAAAGTCATGCACGTAGCTTTGGAATAGATGGTCTTGATTTATTAAAATTTACATACAAGGTCTATTCTACAATCAAGAACACTTAATATTTTATTTTATTCATTGTCCCTCGAAGAATTACTTCAGATATGTATGTTTACTGAATGTCACAGGTTTCCTGGCCTCTTGAACTTATTGCTAATACAGAAGCAATTAAAAAGTATAACCAGGTAATCTTTTTACTTGGCTATTATATTATAGGGCATCATTATTTAATTTTCAATATTTTTTTGTTAATTGTCTTAAGTTTTGGTGTAGGTGATGGGATTCTTATTGAAGGTCAAGCGTGCCAAATTTGTACTTGATAAAGCTCGGAGGTGGATGTGGAAGGTTTGTCTTTTCTCCAACCACTCCGACCCAAAAATATGAAAATAGAAAAAGAGAGAGACAGAACAGAACAAATAGCCGATTATGAATCATGAAAAAGTCATTATACAGTTTCATTCTTCTTCGAATTTGTGCCTAATTCTTTGGTTTGTCCCTTCCAGGGTAGAGGCACTGCAACGGACAATCGCAAGCACCATTGGTTGTTGGAACAGAAACTGCTCCATTTTGTGGATGCTTTTCACCAATATGTGATGGACAGAGTATGATATTTCCCGATATTACTCGAATGTACTTTTGTCTAGGTGTATGTCTGTGCATGTGTGTGACTTTCATACCCTATATTTTTTATTTGGTTGTTTCTTTGAGCTACTTCTACCATTGTTTGATCTAATTTAGGCATATGAGCTTCTTAGATCTCTGATTTAGATATGGTAATCAGGTATATCACAGCGCATGGCTTGAACTCTGTGAAGGTATGGCAGCAGCTGGATCTCTGGATGAAGTTATAGAAGTTCATGAGGCTTACTTATTATCAATTCAACGACAATGCTTTGTGGTACCTGATAAATTGGTGGGTACTCATCCCCCTTTATTAGGTTGTTCAGCAATTAAGGCTGATGCTTAAATCTTGTCTTTAATCAGTGATTTTTGTGAAGTATAGCTGAATCTTGTTCAATGGTCTCTTTTGGATCCAGTGGGCTTTGATTGCCAGCCGAATTAACAGCATCCTTGGATTAGCTTTGGACTTCTATTCCATACAGCAGACTTTGAGCAGTGGGGGAGCAGTTTCTGCCATCAAGGCCAGATGTGAAATGGAAGTTGAGCGAATTGAGAAACAGTTTGATGATTGCATTGCTTTCCTCCTCAGAGTACTCTGCTACTCCTACTTTTTTCATGATTTTTTTTGTTCACAGCTGACCATTAAGTTTGGGTCTCACTCATGGAATTCTGAAATTACAAGATAATATTTATATGCTCATGTGAATTTGCCAGTGGCATATGGTGGTTATGAGGAGACGCACATATATTCATGAATGCTTAAAAATTTATCTGTAATGTAAGCTTCATGTCTTTGATTATGCAGGTCTTATCTTTCAAATTAAATGTGGGGCACTTTCCTCATTTGGCGGATTTGGTTACTAGAATTAATTACAACTACTTCTAAATGTCTGCTAGCGGAAACTTGATGACTGTCCCTGGCTCTGAAACTGTTAGTTCAAGACTGGGCAAGACTTTTGCAAGTAGAACAGACTGATCAATACTGCCCAAAGTTTTTAATGGTGTCTGATCTGTGAATATGGTATATACTGGTGCAAACGTGATTCTCTGCATAGGTTTTAAACGAGCATACTACCTACAAACACAGAGTTTGCCAAAGACGGGATAGATCTGAGAGAAAGTTGCTATCGTACTGAAAAGAATCAATTGGTTAATGACTGTCTTTGCTTCACTGCATGATTTCAGAATCTCCACTTAATGGTTTTTGGAGGTTTGAGCGTTCAAGTACTGATGCTCGAACTGATCTACACTTTGGTAAGGCAACTCTGCACCTTCAGTTGATCCTGAGATTCTTGAGTCCCTCATGGAGCTGAATGATTTATTGGAAATTATTTAACTAACTGTTGCCACTACACTCAACCTGTGTCTCTGTATGCATGGCTTTTTGCCCTTATTTTACTTGTTTGATGAGTAACATCATCATCAAAAGCTCACTGTGTATGGTACCTTGATTCTTGATATTCAGAAGTGATGTTTCATGATTTAGTTTGATCATCTGGTGAGAATGACACATCCAAATTTGGAGTGTTGATGAATTTTATGTTGGAATGATTATTTGGAAATGACGCCTTTTGAAGCAAGAGTATTGTTGCCGCATGCTTGAAGATTAACTCAAGACAGATTCATACAACTTACTACTAAATACTATTACGAGTTCAATAGACAAATAGAGGTCAACCATAATTATTGTCACCAGATGTGGTTGGTTTCCTTAAAAGGGTTCTACTCGATTATTCTTAAATTATGGTACAAAATCTCTTTGAGTAAACGACGTATTCCCACCCAAGGTTTGACGAAATCCGAAGTTAGTATCATAGGTTCTATTTATTCTAGAATCTCATCCTTAAAATAACAGTGTTATGAATTTTTAGGGTTTAGAGGGTGTAATTACCATAATGACCTTAACCCTAAATTAATAAATTATGTTTTAACCCTTAAATTAGTAGAATTATAAAACTTACCATTTTATTTTCAAATTATATCAAAAACACCCTTGGTCACTACACACCCTCATCAGAAACAGCTCGATCTGGGCTGTTTCTGACGACGTCGAACCCCTTGGTCACCTCCATCACCTTCCCCGTAGTCCGTCGTCCAAAACCTCTCTAGTTCCCGACTCATTTGCCCTTCCAATCGTCGGCACCGTTAGGCTTAGGGTTTTGGTGTTCTTCACTGGATTCCAGTCGATTCCGGTGGCGAAAATCCAATTGGACACCACCAATGCAACCACCATCTCCAAATCTATAAAACCCCTATGTCCCCAACAACCATTTCGTCGTCATTTGTCGGTCGAGAGTTCGTGTTCATCAGCTATTTTTCGATGCCGTGGTCGGCGATCGGCGAGTGATAAGGGGTTGTGAATGGTAGGTTTTGTAGAAGGGAGGATGGAGGTTCAAATGGTGGTGACAAATGTGATTTTGGGTGGAAGAATCGCCGAAAAAATAGTGAAAAACGTCGGGAACGACGTCGCACACTGCTAATGTGCGCCAGAGGACTGTTAAAGGCGGTGGTCTGCTAACGTGCGTCACCCATATAAAATGACCAATTTACCCCTTTACCGTTACATCAAACATTTTTCCGTCACTTTAAGGGTGGGAATTTGGAATAAATAGAACCAATGGTACTAACTTAGGATTTCGTCAAACCTTGGGTGGGAATATGTCGTTTACTCAATCTATTTTTAGGTATATTTATGGGTGCATTTGGTCTATTATTTTGGGTAGGAATTTAGGGATAGTATTAGATAGTTGGGTAGGGGAGTATTACGAGATAAAATTTAAAAATTTATAAAAAGCCCCCAAGGTTTGCTAATTTAATAAACACCCCAATATATTAAAATATAGTAAAATGACAAAAACACCCCTACCACCCACAGTGCCAGATTTCAGCCACCACCGCCAGAATCTGGCCAAAAAATTAGATAACCACTCATACCTGTTGGATCTGGTGGGTATTCAATCGATATGGCCTTTTCCGGCCATATCCACCACGGATATGGTCGGAAAAGGCCAGATCTAAGGCTGGATGTGGCCTTCGATGGTTCGAAAAGGTCATCTTTGGCTGTCAACGAAGGCCAAAGATATGGCCGTCGTTGTCTGTCAATGATGACCATATCTTTGGCCTTCACTAACGGCCAGATCCATGGTGGATTTGGTCGAAAAAGGCCAGATTTGGCCATTACTGGCCACTTCCAGTGGTCGTGTGACTGTTGTGACAGATTCCGGCTACCACCAGCAGTGGTTGCCAGAATTTGGCAAGTATTGGTGGGTAGGAGTGTTTTTATTAGTTTTTAAACTTTTTTTTGAGGGTATTTAATGAAATTAATAAACTTATGGGATTTAAAAGTAATTAAAAAATAGACTAATATTTTAAAAATAACGTGCCAAACAACATTTGAAGAATAGGATTGGGAATATGGATAAAAACAATAAGCCAAACGCACCCTATATTATTGACTCGATTCACTCGAAGCTTGTAAAGGAAGCCTGGCGTGACGGGTTCGGGTCTATATCTGGGTTTCTACGGATATAAAATCATTTAAAAACCCATTTCCCGCTCTCCTATCTTCACAAAATCCTCTCTTCTTTTGTTGATCCAATCGTGAAATGGAAGAAAACGTGACCGTCATCACCATCGCTGAGCTAATCCACCGTGGTTGCCCCCTCACGGGTACATCTTCTCTCCACTCTCATCCCAACCGTCGGAACCCTCCAACTTTCTCATCAAACCACCGACCATCTCTTGCTTCCGCTAATTCAAATCCTAACCCTAAATTTCTGACCCCGCTGAAACACCCCGCCGTTCTCATCGGAACCCTAACCCTAAAATCATCGCACGACAATTGCATCCAATTCACCGACGTTTCCTCCGAAATTTGCTGCGACATTCTCGACTTCAATGGTCGCGCTATCGGAAAGAAAATCTACGTCACTGCTTGGAATTTCATTCCCTTGAAACGCGGTAATGGTTTTCTGGAGATTATCAAATGGAAGCTTCCAGAGTCAAGCTCTGTGCTTAGTGGATGTTCAAGCACCAATTCATTCGATTCATTTCCGTTAAATTCAGGTTCTCCTTTTGTTAATGAAACAAGTACTTCCAAATTACGTCATCGCATTCATGGCGCTGTAGAATCAGTTAGTCCTGTTTCTATCGTTCCGTGTTTAAATCCAGGTTCTTTGACCGCTTCAACTAGTATTCAAGGGTTTCTAGTGCGAGTTATGGCTTGTGAGTGTAAATTATGTAGTTCTAAAGAAAATAAGATAACACAGGCTTGCAAGGTGTTAAATAAACCTGTGTTCGTATATTTTTGTGGTGCTGCTTCACGTTGGCATCCTGTAATGACAAAGCTTGTTGGGAATGTTATTACAGCCACAGGGCTGAAGAAAAAGTTGGTTTTTATAGCTAAAGAGGAGTCCCAATTGATGTTTGTAACTGTGGAGAATTCTGTTTTGCATGTGCCTTGGTTATTGGAGAAAAGGTTTCCTGTTTCAAGGACTGTTATCAAGGGGAAGGGTGAGTGTGGAGTGTATACTGGTGTAGTGAAGGGCGTTTACATGCATGGGATGATTGTTGAGCTGGACAACGAAGTGTGGCTTCTACTAAGTGATAAATTACTTAGTGTGCCACATAGTCTTAGAGTAGGCGCTGTTGTAAGTAAAATAATGTTCGCTTTTGTGCCGTTACCTATACAATGTTTATGGACTATGGTTATACATTCTTAATTGTTGTTTTTTTATTTTGGTAGATTTCTCTGAGAAATGTTCATTTCGTCAATCCAAGATTTCCATGGGCAAAACTTCTCATACTAGGCGCTTGCTTCAAGACTAGCATTATTGTAGAGTCATTTTCTCCTTTAGAAGCAGGGTACTTAATGCTCAATTTATTATCATTTTATCTCCTAGTATTCTAGTGACTAACATCACAGGCATCTTTGGATTTACTGTGGAAATTGAATTCTTTATTGCATCCCATACCAGTGGAGGCATCAAACTGATTTTAATCCACTGGTTGTGGTTAATTGATCCCCGTAGTCTTTATGGGTTTACCTTAACTAATCTCCTTGGATGGTATGCGAAATACCATCAATCAATTCAATCTTTTGGAGCATAAGATCATGTGCATTTATGAAAACTAATCCAATTGTATGTTACAGGTGCTATACAAATTCAGAATCGCAAAGTTTATTGGGGAAGTTTATTGAAACTTTATCATTTTCTGCCAGACTATGGTAGGATTTTGATAATGCGTTTCTAGGAATGTTTGTAGCTGCACAAAATCAATTAACATTTATGATATTCTTGATTGATATTGTTCAGGACACTTCTTGTTGTTTCATGTATTCGGAAAAAGTTTTCTGGGATTTTATCTGAGAAGGAGATTTTGGGATCAAAGCATGTAAGCAGCTTGCTTTTGGTCTTGGTAGTATGTTTCTTTGAAGTGGTGCTTCTTGTTTCACTGAAGTCTTTGTAGTCTTGTTTCAGTTTCTGATGAGCTTATGTGATGGTTGCAAGGTGTTATCAGAAGAAAGGAGTTGCTCAGATGTACACTAGCTCACGTTTGCCTTCATCTGTAATTCGAGCTCGGGTAATTTGGTAATTCAACTGTTAGATATACTATATATGACAGTGCTATTTTGGAATTTGTTTGCCATCTTCTATAGGAAGTTTCTTTTGGCAGCATGGAGTATTTACAGAATTGTGTAAGCATGAATCATGTGGCTGTGGTAATGAACCATATTGTGGTAACCTGAAATTGGTGAGTCCCGGCCTACAAGTTATTTTATTACAATAATTTATTAATAGATCTTGTGGCTGGTTGCTTTTACGTAATGTGTACTAGAAGACTAAGTTTCAATAAATATGTATTTTTTGTTTATCATCAGGTGTTGCCCATCTCTTGTTTCACCTATCACTGTGAAGCTAAGGGGATAAAAATGCTGTTACAATCAGACAGTGATCGACATCTATTGTGTGAGAACAATCAGATCAGTTCTCTATCTTCATCAGGTAAATCTTATGGTCAATCAAAGAGGAGGATTTTTCCAAGTGAAGACATGGATATTGTTTTGCTTGGAAGTTTAAAGGTTAGCCATTGAGCTTCATTATAGAATCTTTCATCTCCCTGTGCTAGTCCATTCCAGTTTCATCTTACATTTGTTCATGGGGTAGGGAGTGTAGATGACATCTGTAATCCAAAGGTTTGGTTGTTGATGGAATGAGGGTGACTGTAGATTTTTCAACCATAAGACATTTGATTTCTTGTTTTGGGTATCAGCAGTTGATGCCCTCTGTTGTACTTTTCAGAATACTTTTTCCTGGCTGTAAAGTTTTTATTTTCGTTTTAGTTCTAATCATGGATTTGTATTGACTTTTCAGGTTTCTCCATATTCTGGAAGGTTGCAGTTGGTTGACATGACTGGCAGCATTGATGTAATTGTACCAGACCTTTCATTAAATTGGAGTGCCAACAGCATTTATGAGGTCATAATTAATGACAGTTTTACATCCTATTCTCCATCATTCTGTCGTGAGCTGCCTTTAGTTTCTGGAATAGAGGGTGCTACTCATCTTTTTCCCACCTTCTATTGGTCTCTGAAGTCAATCTAGTTTGTGTTGATTTTTCAGGTCATTGACTATGGTCTTATGGTCGAAGGCATACCTGAAGTGGTGGATCGATTGGGATTGCCTGGGAAGGAGTTATTCTCGTGCAGAAGCATCTTTAATTGTGCCCCACCGACAAGAAAGGAAAACTTATCAATTATTCTCCACTTTCACATGAGTAAAGCAACCAGCAGAAATCTTCCGTTTTATCCTAGTGTGGACTGGACAAATGATTTCAAGGAATTTGAAAGTGGGACATTTCATCTGATTCGGGTAACTCATAAATTTCCATTGCTACAAAAGGTATGTTTGTATCTTCATATGTAATTGTTGGAATTGTTTATATAGTGCCCTTATCTTTTCTTCTTCTGCTATTACTTGAGAACCTGTAATTCTAAACGGAAGAGAAGCTTAGATGCGGTAATTTTTTTCCTCAAGTTGCTCTGTTGACTCATACTTTACAGATTATTAACCTTTTTACATTACTTGTTTCACAGTTTCAAGGTGATCCTGTCATAGCAAACAGGTCTAGTATGTTTGTTGAGGCCATCGTCTTACCATGGAATCTGGTTCTTGATGAAAAAGATGGAAGTAAGCAGTCAACAAAGGTGTTGAGGGATCAATGGAATCAAACCATGGATCAGAGCACTAGTGAATATTACCAGCGACATGTTCCTGGAAAGAGGCATAAAACTGATTATGCATCAAGTGGGGCACTGAGTTCAGGTTCAGTGGTTGATTTAGGTGATGTTGATGATGTATTAAACACTCATAGTCATAGGGATTCTAGGAAGGAATGGAAATGTAAAAACTTGAATTTTTCTCTTGAAATTCCATGCTTTGCTACTGTTAGAAGTGTTAATATTCCCAACTTTGTCAGTTCTGGAATCTTGTATAGCACAAAGACCAGTGTGAAGAGTTATGTTGATGTCCCCAATTTAACAGCTGAGAAGGTCTTGCTGGAATTCAATAATGAAAATTCTTTGAAGTATCAGGTAATTTTTTTTTTTTTTTCATTCCGTTAATTATGCTTATGGGAACCATGGAATGTTTTCTACGTGATTTCAATTCAGTAAGCAAGATGACATATTTTACTTTCATCTGAATTTCCAGTTGTTGCAGATTGGTGGTTATTACATCATCAAGCACCACATAGAAGATTCTTTTTGTTCTATTAAGGACTCTGATAACCTTAGCTGTGTTAAAGCTCTAATCACATCTAAAACACACATTTGGAGCCTTACATACTCTTCTCATGAAGTTCTCATGAATAATAAATCATTGCATGATCCTTCACAGAAAGATTCCTCCTTCAGCAGTAGTAAAGCTCTGGCCATGGATCAAACTGAATTACTTCTCGAGAGGGTTTTTGCATGTTCTCTAGGATGCTGTTCAGATGTGCATCTTCATCTCTCAGCCAATGAAATGGATATGTTGAAGCTAAACCTTAAGGAGTTGGAGGAAGATATTATTAAGCCAACTGTAAGACCAGAAGAGACTTCCAATACTTCTCCATGCTTGTGGAACGCAATGACTCTGTCTGGACTGCCTTCTGTACCTACTGATTCTAATTGCCTGTTTCCAGAAGGGAATTTAGTATCTTTGCGTGGAGATGTGGTTGCTGTTCATGGTTTTGATGGCAACTATGCTGATGTGGATGTATACTGTGAAAGACTTTGTGATGCTTTTCGGTTGAGATTCTTTCAAGAACTTGCAAATTGCATTCATATTTTGGTGGATGATCAACTTGTAATTTCCTATTATACCTTTTCAGTTCTTTTTCTATTTCATTACTTGAAGACAGTGTGTGTCATCTTTTTGCATCATTTTAATTGGTTAGGTAAGGGTTTTCGGTACACTTAATGAACATGTGTATCTTACTGGATTTGGGGTTGGTGTAAATGCGACATTTCATCGGATTCTGGAAGTGGGGTAAGAGTCCTTAATTACTGCCTGTGCTTTAACATTTGGATTAAATTTGTCTTTCACTTGATAGAAGTTTAACTTCTGATAGTTTTTAGATTCTCAATATGATACCATTACTTTTTGGCATGATTCATGATACAAACTCCAACTGCTCTGTATCATGGATTGTGTATGCTACCGTTAGAATTTAAGTGTGCAAGGCTTTCTGTTGTTTCTAAATATATCTGCATATAAATATGAGCTGTGGAAATTGGATCTTTCTTTGTTCATTATTCTTACACCTATTGTTACCCTTCACATTTGTAATTTTTAAAGCCTGTTGCCAAATTGCTTCCTCTAGGTTTTACAGAATCATAAGTATTTATACTGATATGATTGCCATTTCTTGGTTTTCCAGGGGGTCAAAGAGCTTGATGTTGACATCTGTATCATTTATTGTAATAAACTTAATAAGGGTAGTCAAAGAACCATATGCCGAAAAGTGTTCTGAGTTATTGGGGAATTCAGATTCATGCAAGAAAGACTGTATAGACACTGTTTCTTCTGGTCTGATTTCTGAATTGACTCCTTGCTTGAATACTGAAACAATGCGCATCCGTTGCAGAGTAAGTTGTGTCAGAGCTATATATGTTTTTTGTGTTTCAAGCAGGCTAAATTTGTCATTTAATAGAGCTCCTTACTTTCTGAGTTCTTCCCAGTGGATGGATGAAGTATATCCTTATTATGTGGATGCTGGCAAATGATTACCTGTTATTTGTGATGGTAGGTTGTTGCTGTCCATGTTCTGGTTCTGGAGCAGAAGAATAGACTATGTGATGATTTACGATTGAAAACTCACACCAGGGCCCATCTTGTTAACATTCCTCTTGCTGGTTTTGTGTTGGGTGAGTTGCATACTTCAGAGACTATTGATGTAGTGTATGAGATTAATTGTCCTGTCTAAACTTTCCAAAAGCATGAATACAAGTCATCTCTCGAAAACTTTATCATATTGTCTTCTTGTATCTAGTGGATTTAACCTATGAAAATGATGGAATTGATCTCAAAAGTTATATGTGCAACAGAAGTTATCATGTATGTAGCCTAAGGCATATGCCAGCAAGCATAGGTGCTTCATGCTAAATGAAACTTTTTTTTACACCCATCTCAGAACATGTAAGCAAGGGCTCCATGATCTGTACCCACAGAAACTTTTAAGTCATTGAGATACAATAGCACTTGGTTAAAAATTGTGCTCCAGTCACATGATATTAGTTAACTTTGTCAGAGGTCTCACTTTATTGTTCTTAATGATACACAAGTGTTCAATTCATGTCTCTGGTGATAAAAATGCAAAATAGAGAGTACTCTCCGGACAATCTTCAAATTTTGGTGATTGTTTATTAGGATACGAATTAATTTATTAGTAGGTGAGAAGTCCCCTTCTGAACTTTGCATCCTCAGTTTCATGAGAGACTTGCTACACATCTGCTTTCTAAAACTTTAGAAAAATTTAGTTTCTTATATAACTTTTAAATTTTTATGTAATTTGCATACCTAGATGATGGATCATCCTCTTGTTGTTGTTGGGCTGATGCTGAAAGAGCAGCAACCTTGCTAAGACTGCATGAAGAACTCCCACAGAGTGCTCTTGAAAGCAGTGGGTCGACATTAAAGTGGGTGGCAATTGATAACAATGCCTGGAGAACCACCATGTATCATCTTGAAAGAATCTTAAAGAAGCATAACAGAATTACGGTGAAAAACTATGGTTCAATGGTCGATTCTTCTTGTCAAGATCTTAGTGTTTCCATCAGTTCAGAAAATGCTCTAAGCAGCTCAGACGAAAACTTCCTGAAATTCATAATCTTCAATGCTTGCTTTGGCACATTTTGGGTGAGTATATATGCAATTAGAAGAGGGATTTATATCCTCCAGCCTAGATGCATAATAATTTCACTGCTGGCATGATAATGTTCAATGCTTGCTTTGGCAGATACTTGTTGCTAGCTCAATGGGTCCGAGTGCTATCAGGTGTTTGGAAAAACAACACCTTTTGGAGATGGAGACACCAATGCATTCCATGCAAACTATATGGGCTAGAGAAGTTTGTTACACCAACCCTATCACTGAAGCCAGGAATATGTTTCAGGAACTGCTAAACAGGTAGTTGCTCATGCTGTTAAATTTGTTGGATGTGACATCAGAACTTCTCTTTCCATGCCCCCGTAATATGAGAATATGAGAGATAATTTCTGACATGTCTTCCCCAACAAAATATGTACTTGCACCACCAGCAGCTGTATTTATCTGAATTAAGGACTCTAAAATGTATGGTGTGTTGAATTCTTCAACTTTTTGAACTGGTTTCCAGATTCCTCATTCATTTTAGCATATACACATATAAATGTGTAAGTTGCATAATAATAAAAAATCAACATGTAAAGCCCTAAGATAAACAGTAATCCTTAGCTACTGAAGTGCTTGGTCATTGATAAAACTGGGACAGGAAAATTGGTCCTTGACATTAGGGGTGGGCAAAATTTGAGGGTAGAACCGGAACCGACGGGTATCCGAGAGTCGGTTGGTCGTAACAGGATAGGTTCCGATTCCAAAAAATTAGAACCGATCAAGACTAAATTAATATAATATTAAATAATAGGTGTATTTTTTGATATTTTGTATATCATATAAATTTATAAGAAAATTTTGGTTTTTTTATCTTAGTATCAATAGTTTTATTAATTTTCATTAAAAGATCAGTTTTTCAAAATATTTTTATTAATATTTAAATTTTACTTATTACTTGATTAAAAAATTAATATACATTAAGACATTTACATTAAATAATAGTTTTTAAATATTTATTATCGGTGAAAATAAACAATCAAGTACTTATAATCAAGCATCAATCATAAAGTAAATATAAACAAATATATTATTTAATGTTTTGCACTTAATATTTAGGGGTGTAATTGTAATTTTATATGGGTTTATTTGTCATTTTAAAAAAAATAGGGGGATAATTGATAATTTTTAGGGCATCTGGAACCGGAAGTCCGGAACTGGGGTTCCAGTTCTAGTTTCAAATCACAAGAACCGTCCAGTTTTGGTTTTGGTTTTGGGTGGGTACCCGACCCACCCACCCCTACTCGACATTGCTAAAATGAATAAAATAAAAATCTGTGATAAAAGAGTAATGCTATATTTATATTATATTTTTACACCATTTTTATTATATCATGATGTAGTATATATTACAATCACACAAATTTTTAATTATTTTAAATTTTTAATATTATAATAAAATTTATATGATAATGTATATATCACGTTATGATAAAATGAAAATGAGATAAAAAGGGGGTATAAATGTAACATTGCTGAAAATAAAAACTGACAGTATTAATGAGCACTATAGTTCCGCCAAGTACAGATTGAATAATGATGAGACCCCAGCATGTCAGAAATAGGAAAGAAACGGGTAAATTTTAACAATTAGCTGGCAAGGTGAGTGTAAATCATATTACGTGAGGTCCCCCCCCGGCCCCCGGACTTGAACTCATTGGAGGGAGAGGGTTATCAGTTATGTACTTAAAGAAATGCTTTATTTTTGGATGTACAAAATGGAAGCAGCGACCACTCTTCGGGTCACAATGAAATCCCAGTAGTTAGCAAGTTAAAACAGGTGAGTCTGAAACTGCATAATTTGACTGGATCTGAGCTTTTTCAATGTTGGTACTTCTTATTGATGTGAATTGTTACTTGTATATCCATTTATTACTGTTATTATTATATGGAGATTATATGATTTCCTCTTCTTTCTGTCTTGATTCGTTGCATTCTCCAAATATATAAATTTGACAGTGACTTAACTTGGGATGAATTTTGACAGACCAAATTCAAGTTTTCAAATGAGGTAATGTGGTGGAATGCTTAAAGAGTGTTTAGTCGTAATCGAAGGTGGTGTGAGGCGCTAGGATTGAGTGTAGGTTTTTGAATAGTATATAGTTAAGGTTGTTTTCTATTGCTTCTTACAGTAGCAGAAAAGTTCTGCAAAAGCTCGTCTACGTTTTTGAGGAGAGCTTCTCTAGGAAAGGTTTTGGACTTTTTTACTTTTACTCACCCTTAGATTCCCACGTCTTTTCGGGTTACTTTTTTCTCGTCCTTTTTACTGTCCCCTAGGGTTCTTCATCCAATTATAAACATTAAATATAATATAAGACCCCATTCTTACCATTGGTCATTAGATCTGCCTCCACCTCTTCTTCCTCCCTTTTCATTTGAATTCTTCACCCACCTACATGTCTTCTTGTCTCTCTTCTTTTGTTGAGAGTATAACAAATCAGAAAAAGAAAAAAGAAAAAATTATATATATATTTAAGCTCTAAAGCTCCCTGTTACTAACATTTCTGTAAGTTGGAGAATCTCTCTTATTCGATAGCATAAATCTACTCCTCATTGTTGCAGGGTATTCAAACATATATTAGCCCTACCCCTACGTTAGAGGTTAATAAAACAGAAGTTCTTTTTTCTTCTTTTCCCTTTACCTCAGACCCTTTTCAACTCTTTCTTCCCTCCCAAACACAGCCGTTTCCTCCCCTTGCTATCTCACACATAATGTCAATGCCAGTAGAACAGCAACCACCGCCATTGATGATAACACACAACAACCACTCGAGGGAGGAGTCAGTGGGGCCAGTGATTGGGGTAATGGTGGTGATAATGATGTTAGGGATAGTTGCGTGCATGATCGGAAGGCTATGTTCAGGTAGGAGTCTCATGGGATATGGTAAGTACGATATAGAGAGGTGGGCAGAGAGTAAGTTCTCTACATGCATTGATGGAACAATCAGCCCCCCACCACTCCCAACGCCTTCTCTATCTGATATCTCTCCTCCAACGCCGGACCCTATCCAACCATCCATGCACCCCAACCCACCTACAAATGTAGATTCTTAAGATTTCATTTACCACTCTTCTTCCTTTTTTTTTTTTTTTTTTTTAATTTCACTGTGTTGATTGGAGCATCGTTTTACTTGGGTACCATAACCTGGAGTATGACCATTACTGTGTTGGCTGGTGCATCGTTTACCTGAGTATGATTTTAGAAGACATGTAACTGTTGGAGGCTGCTATAACCAGAATTTTTTTTGTTTTTTTTTTCTTCTGGCTTCAACTCTGTGAAATGCTGCATTAATTACTCATTGTGGATACAACGTTTAAAGAATTAACGGAGAGGTTCTCATTTTCATCTAAACTGCACTTGTGGATGTTGCAAGAAGTCAAGAACATGATCTATTAATAGGTTGTACCTTCATCTTCAAAACTTGATTTCTCTCTCAAAAATTTGACACCTAGAATTTGAATTTTGTGAAGCTGTGCCTTACATTGTTAAATTTATGAGCAATGCCATTGACGATTGCTAGACATTAAAATATTACTTGTTAGGTTTGGTGCTTCAATTCTGTAGTCAAAAACTAATTTTAAGTTTCTATCCAAACTCTCACGCCATAGCCAGAAACAATTACTAGCTGCCCATGTAATTGATGTGGACCCTTTAGACATGTCAGGAACAACATTATTTCACCCACCATACTGCTCATTTCTCACTAATAACAGTATGAAAAAAAAATCCCAGGTCTCCGCGCAAATAAAATTTTAAACAGAAATCACACTTCTACCATACGCAGTCTCAAAAAGGATGCCTGGATAGCACAACTGTAAACGCCAGTCTGTAAACAGGCAGGTCACGATCTGTTTATCAATCACTAGAATTATGCCTTCTGCAGTTTTAAACAACCGTGATTAAGTGAATTCCACATACCGTTCGCAAATCAGCAAAGAGAGGAATCCAAATATCCAATTACTCAACTCTGTTGCAATAAATATCACTCTTACCAATTCAGGCTCATTGGAGCAACATATGAGACAGGTTTCAGATTGATAACCCACTTGAATAATACAGATGTTGGAAATGCTTGAAAGATGCGAAGTATAATCCTTTTTCCTAAAAAAATTTGTACCCAAAGACTCTAATGGACGTATGAATTTACTTCATCTCCTCAAAATCCATTTTCCTAGAAGGCATGTGCCCGGCACCCACCAAAAACGTCTTTCATGAACTGAGAAGGATGACAGTTGTTGCTGATCAGACTGTATTTAATCTAGCTACCATGTTTCGAGGGGCGCTTAATCTTGAGAAGATGAGAGAGACCTGCCACTACATGTAGCCGACTGCTAGGAATACCCGTCTTCGCCAGTGCCTTCCCATTTTTGTCCAACAATACAAAGCAAGGAACATAATTAATGTCATAATGGAGAAGCTGCATTGACAATGAATATACCCAAATCAGTATCATTTCAAATTAATCACTATATGTCATTTAGATGGAGAATTTAACCCTGAGAGTGGACAAATACAACTTATTGAGGGAGCTACTTTAGCATGAAGCTGAAAAGATATAAACTAATGAAGATAAAGAAATTTATATCCACAAAATGTCCACATAAATGATTAGGTTATGATCCCCCTAACACGCACAGACATATAGTATACAAAAAAATTCAACAAAGAATAATGAAACTAAAAACAATAATTTAACAGCAGGTACACTGGGTGGACGTCCCTAGTCGCTAGCTCTTTTGGCTAAACTAGTTTGTCATGCATCTTCTACTGCAGAACTTCACAACTCACAGGTAAGCTGTGATGTATTTCACAAAAGTCCACAGCTGCAATACCTAAATGGCAGCTTTCTATAACTCATGGCACTCAACTTAAATTCATCTAAGGAAGCCGTCCAAGTATAACATTAAAACAGACATTTTAATGTATTACCTTAACATCTTAACTCAGATTCGTTGGCATGCCTCCAAAAAATATTTTCTAGAAGACGTTGATTCATCAAGTAGCCTAAAACCACCAACAAAATCTAGACAAAATTAGAGAAATTACAATGAACATGCACAACATTCCATCAATTTTATAGATCTAATTACATTACAAAATTAAAAAAAAAATAATAATAAGAATAATATTAGCACAGCTAGAATCTTTGGGTTCATGTTTCTCTTCAACCACATACATAACATTATTTCCAGCAGCAACTAATCTTAAATCTGGCCTGAGAACTATAACGTGTAAATTAATGAGACCACATCGAAAAATTATAATGTTAATGCATTTCCAAATGCAATCATTTATTTATATAAAGTCTGGGATGAAGTAAACTACCTCAGGCAGCCATTTTTCATTCTCAGCATCTGCCATAATAATGTTGAGCCAGTTTGAATTCCTACCCTCCACCTCTGTGACGAAACCAAGTAAGGAATTGCAGAGACTGCATTTAGGTGAATAGAACTCGACAACTGTAGCCTCTTTTGCATTAGCCAGTGCTGAAGCAAATGCTCTTTGCTCTGCCTCTCCTTGCTCTTCCGGATTCAAAGTCTTTTTTTTGAAAATCAAATTGCTATTTTGGTTGGCTCTGCTAGACAATTGGGTGGAAACAAAGGAATTGGCCCATGAATTTGACTTAAAGAATGAATTGAAAGCAATGGATCCAAGATTTTGCAATGATTTGAATAACCAAGGACCCTCAAAATTGCAAACACTATTATTTTTATTGTCTTGGTTAACTTGCAACGGCCATTTCAGACAAAACAAAGATTTTTTTCGAGTAGAACCCATCTCTTAGCCAATTCGCTTCTCGAATGAATATTTGCAAATCCTGCCATTATAAAAAGATATGAATAAACAAAGAAATCACTAATAGAATGAAATTTGCTAAAGCTTAGCTCATTAGTTGAGAGGAAAGACTAGCAATTTCTATATCAGAAATTAATAAAAAGAAATTTTGAATGATTCATTACTAGCTCCTCCTTATTTTGTTTTCATAATTTGTAACTCTAATATGCAGCAGAAAGCCAGAAACCCCTTGCCCTAAATTACAAGTAACGAGATGTTTCTCCCAACTATTTAAAACGAAAAAGGGATTAATTAACCAACCTTTAAAATTGTAATCACTCAGCTTAACGAACCACGACTTACAGAGGTCACGAGAGACAGACTTTCTCCTCAGCCGCTACAGTGTGAAGGGAAATTGGGAAAATACAAAGGCGCGCAACACGAAACGGCGGCGTCTTGATGTACCAATGAAGTTCAAGTGGGCCGGGTTAGAGTCCAAGTTGCTATAAAGGCCGGATCACATAATATTTTTATTAAATTCTCGTGTAGAACAATGAAATTTAAACATAGAAATATTAATGGTTGGAATGGGAATATATATAATTAATTATCAATATTGAAAAGTATATAACTCTTCCGAGTTGGTTTTATAAAGTAACCTTCTCTACATTTATATATATNCAGACATTTTAATGTATTACCTTAACATCTTAACTCAGATTCGTTGGCATGCCTCCAAAAAATATTTTCTAGAAGACGTTGATTCATCAAGTAGCCTAAAACCACCAACAAAATCTAGACAAAATTAGAGAAATTACAATGAACATGCACAACATTCCATCAATTTTATAGATCTAATTACATTACAAAATTAAAAAAAAAATAATAATAAGAATAATATTAGCACAGCTAGAATCTTTAGGTTCATGTTTCTCTTCAACCACATACATAACATTATTTCCAGCAGCAACCAATCTTAAATCTGGCCTGAGAACTATAACGTGTAAATTAATGAGACCACATCGAAAAATTATAATGTTAATGCATTTCCAAATGCAATCATTTATTTATATAAAGTCTGGGATGAAGTAAACTACCTCAGGCAGCCATTTTTCATTCTCAGCATCTGCCATAATAATGTTGAGCCAGTTTGAATTCCTACCCTCCACCTCTGTGACGAAACCAAGTAAGGAATTGCAGAGACTGCATTTAGGTGAATAGAACTCGACAACTGTAGCCTCTTTTGCATTAGCCAGTGCTGAAGCAAATGCTCTTTGCTCTGCCTCTCCTTGCTCTTCCGGATTCAAAGTCTTTTTTTTGAAAATCAAATTGCTATTTTGGTTGGCTCTGCTAGACAATTGGGTGGAAACAAAGGAATTGGCCCATGAATTTGACTTAAAAAATGAATTGAAAGCAATGGATCCAAGATTTTGCAATGATTTGAATAACCAAGGACCCTCAAAAATGCAAACACTATTATTTTTATTGTCTTGGTTAACTTGCAACGGCCATTTCAGACAAAACAAAGATTTTTTTCGAGTAGAACCCATCTCTTAGCCAATTCGCTTCTCGAATGAATATTTGCAAATCCTGCCATTATAAAAAGATATGAATAAACAAAGAAATCGCTAATAGAATGAAATTTGCTATAGCTTAGCTCATTAGTTGAGAGGAAAGACTAGCAATTTCTATATCAGAAATTAATAAAAAGAAATTTTGAATAATTCATTACTAGCTCCTCCTTATTTTGTTTTCATAATTTGTAACTCTAATATGCAGCAGAAAGCCAGAAACCCTTACCCTAAATTACAAGTATCGAGATGTTTCTCCCAACTATTTAAAACGAAAAAGGGATTAATTAACCAACCTTTAAAATTGTAATCACTCAGCTTAACGAACCACGACTTACAGAGGTCACGAGAGACAGACTTTCTCCTCAGCCACTACAGTGTGAAGGGAAATTGGGAAAATATAAAGGCGCGCAACACGAAACGGCGGCGTCTTGATGTACCAATGAAGTTCAAGTGGGCCGGGTTAGAGTCCAAGTTGCTATAAAGGCCGGATCACATAATATTTTTATTAAATTCTCGTGTAGAACAATGAAATTTAAACATAGAAATATTAATGGTTGGAATGGGAATATATATAATTAATTATAAATATTGAAAAGTATATAACTCTTCCGAGTTGGTTTTATAAAGTAACCTTCTCTACATTTATATATATTTTTTTTTAAACAAGGTATTTGGACCAATTTGCACGTATCTCGATTAATCCTCTCAAGACCCTCTGCAGTTAATGATTGGGTATATCCTCTAGTGGTCATTCCTATTAGGAATCAAAGTAACTCAAACTCAAAATTTCTTGAAAAATACGTCCAAGAGTCATTGTCTAACCACTTGACCACTTAGGGGTGATTAGTGATGAGGGAGGTTGTTATTCACTTCTTTCGCTATATTTAGACATCTCTCATACTTTTTTTTTTTTTTTTTTTTTTTAATATCCAGGGGTGTTCGGCTCAATTTGCATACACCTCAACTAGTCTTTCGAGGTCTTGAAGTTAATGACCAGATAAACTTTCAGTATTATCCTTTATTAATAGTCATATGGATTCGAACTCAAAACTTCTTAAAAAATACATTTAAAAGTTTCAAGGGAACTATCAAACTAGTTAGAGATAGTTGACATCTCTTTGTTATCTAAGTCATTCAATATCAAATCCCTAGATTTACTCTCTTTAAACACGTAGAGATTTGTATGCAGTTTCTAGTTTCGGATGACGGTACCTGTAGTGTGAAACCCATATCAAAACTCAAATTTTGGGCGTAGCCACACCAATCCTTCGGCACGTCGTGGATTGAACATTGTGGATAACAAAAGTAATATGAGTTTCTAGATTGTGTCCCCTAAAAGAAGAGTTGACGTACGAGACATTTGTGGAATCCTGTCTTGTAGTTGCACTTGCAGCTGTAGTGTAGGGTACGGGGTACCCATTGGCTCAATCTCCATTCTCATATTTTGCTTGGCCTACCACCACTACCAGTACTGTATTTATTATATACTCACAACCACTGGTCACACTCACTATTCAAAATTACAATGAGCTTTAACATCATGTCCACTCTCGATATTAGGAAAAAAAAAAAAAAAAAAAAAAAGGTATATATGCTTGAAATTGGTGGCATATTTGTTACGGAATGGGCCACCACCTAATGACTTGAACGATAAACATGAGATAAGAAGTCAAAATATAGCACTTAAACCATAAAACCAGTGCTTTATTCATTGTATGGTGAAAACTGATAGGACTAAAAAGAACTCCCCATTATTATCATAGTCCCAGCAATAGTTTTGTGCATGCTACTTTCTTTCTTTTTGGAAATAGTCCAATCAAATCAGAATTTAGCTTTGAGTTTTTTTTTTTTTTTTTTTTTTTTCAAGGTAAACCCGCAATTGCCTCTCTGGCAACTCGTTCGAAGACTAAACACTCTTGATATGACTAATTTCAGTAATTAAAGGGTTTGTCTTTCAACCATAAAGGGAAAGGTAGATATTTTATTCCTCTTTTTTTTTTTTTTTCTCTAAATTAACATACCACTTAAAGTTTAAGGTCTACCCACCTACATTTTAATTTGTCAAAAGATAAAAAAAGTTGATTATAACTTTATATAATCACAAAGGTTCATTCATTCACAAAAATCAAGCCACTAGTTGCTAGTTTCAAAATTCTAATGCGTATTATAGAAGATTAATATGAAAATCTTTGAAATGAGTGCATTGGACATGTACAAGATATTCCAGGATTTTTATAAGATTGGTGTAATGAAAATTTGAGTGGAATGCAGTCGTCGTTGGTAGGAAAAAAGAAGTTGTACAAGACAAGACAAGACAGAACAGAAGAGCCCGTGCCATATTTAAAACATGCAAAACGTAAATTAAATACACTGTAAAATTGGAAAAGTGTTGCGATAAAGTGGGACACAGCTCTGAGCATATTTACAATTGGTTCCAAATCCAATTAGAAGAAAACAAGGTGCAGCTGTGTGGCGTGCTTAGCTTTCCCACCTCCCTTTCAATTTCAAGAAAAGTTAAACAAAGAGCTCTCCGTTTTCATTATGGAGGTCCACCCCTGTTGGACTTTATACACTTCTCTTGACGTTAAATTCTATAATCTCCTCCACTAAATATTAGTGTTGCTAAATTAACCATCATCATCATCATTATCATCAAATCCTACTATTTCTTTTTTATTTTGTTTTTTTATTCTGAGTGTTTGCTTCAATTTACATACACCTCAACTAGTCCTTCAAGATCCTTACGTTAACGGTTAGGTAAGCCTCTAATGACTATCTACTAGAAGTTAGCCATTAGAGGTTTACCTAAAAGTCTCAAGTGAACTGTCAAACTATTTAAGAGTAATTATCCTACTATTTCTTTACTCATTCATTTTCATTTATATTTACATATAGAGTACATCGGATCCCTTCATTTTAGTTTATATAAAATCTTCTACTTAATATATAATTTTCGCACATGCTATTTATGCTCCTGCATGGTGGATGGTGATATGGAATAGTATATTTGATGCCACATCACATCACTTTCAGACTTAGACTCACTGTTCTATTAGCTTGAACCACTGAGTGGCCACCTTCAACCCATTGTATAATGCCTTCAATCCACGATCCACATTTCATTTTGGAAAAAGGTTCCTTATCTCATTTTTCTTTGGCTTTAGAAAAATTTAATTTGCAATTATAACACATCCTTTTCTAATTAAATAAATAGATAGTGATCAATCAGGCTGTTAACCTTATTGTGGCGACAATTTAAAACCCAACCACATCATTATTAATAGGACCAATCGTTATCGTCCTCATAGAACAATATATATGGTGGTGGACTGTTGACCGCACGATATGCATACGAACTTTCCGAGTATTAAACAAACCCTAAATCCACTATCAAATCAATTATAATAATAAAACAGTATTAGTTTTTGGGTTATATATCCAGCTCAGATGCCAGGGCGACCACTTTCCTGTTATGGAAAGTTATTTTAGTTAATTAATGTGATATTAACCAAGCATGCATTGCATAGAGCCATGGCACGGAAAAATAAATTATAAATTCTTCATAAACAAGAAAAAATCCAAAAGAACGATCTTAACAAATCATACTTAATTTGCCTTCTCTTTTCTTTCGGTGACAGGCTGTAATCCCACACCACACAGTTTGATTCAGCTTAATTTCGTTGAATGCCTGGAGCTCAGGCATTCATGATCTTAGAAACTTATATTTTCATGATCTTGAAAATTACATTACATCAACATATTAACATCAGAAATAAACCACCAAATTAACACATCATACATACGCACTTTGCATCCTCTTCCTAATGAAACCCTGGAGTCTCAGACAACGTTGAACTCATATAATCTCTTACTTCTCTTGCTATCACATCTCTCATCACATCCCAAAACCCCGCCGGCAAACTCTCCGTTCTCCTCTCCGTCACCATCGCACTACCACTCCCTGTCCCTGGTGGCCCCAAAGTCAACGCAGTCAACGCATCATCTTCCAATCCCATGCACTGCTGATCAGATCCTGAAGCTACAGACCCCCCGTTATTACTTCCATTATCAAAAAAGTCCATTTGTTGTTGTTCTAGCGGCTGTTGTTGTGGAAATTGTTGTTCTTGTGCTCTTCTCTTCAACGTGGAGTTCCAGTGATTTTTGACTGCATTATCTGTTCGACCAGGGAGCAATCGTGCAATGGTGGCCCAACGGTTACCAAAGCGGGCATGGGCGGCCAAGATGGTCTCGTCCTCTGCGGGTGAGAACGGCCTGTGCTCAACATTTGGGCTTAGCTGGTTACACCATCTAAGCCTGCATGATTTCCCTGACCTTCCCTTAATATATCGGCTTATAAGAGACCAGTTTCTCGGTCCATATCTTTCAACAAGACGTGTTAATATACGGTCTTCTTCTGCACTCCATGGACCTTTAATTCGCTCAGCTCTGTGGGTTGTTCTTGGTGTTTTATTATTACCAGAGAAAGATGATTCTGAAGAAGAAGAATCTGAGGATGAAGTAGAAGAACAACACCTATTGATTGCTTCCATTAAAACAAGAGTAGAGGGATTTGTAAAAGAGAGAAATTAAGAGTGATGTAGAATCAGACAGAATTGAAGGCGTTTGAATATGAAGCAACAAGCAAGTATGAGTAAAGGAAGTGTTTGTGTTTATATATGGAAGAGAAAGGAGACGCATGAAATTAAATCGGCGCACAGTGGAATTAATAAGGAGGAGGGGGATACTTCCAGGAAGTTAGCTTTTGTAAAGTTGGTAGGGGTTCTAACTAGAACGGGTTGTTTAGATGTGCACCCCATTGTTATTATTACGGGGATTTTCTTTCTGCGAGCAAATTTTGTCGCAGACTTATTCCACTTTGTCTCCACTTGTCTATTTACCATTTTGGGTCTGTCTTACATTTAGATTATTTGCTTTGATTAGGATAGACAAAGAATACCAAGGCTGTTTTTCAATGAATCGAGGAATATTGGAGTAATAAATTAAGACAAATTTATTTTGTTTGTAAGTACCATGTATGGATGAGAAACCAGACAATTATTTCGTTGACCAGATTTTATAATCAAGTTATTGATTAATTATTGGTGAAATTACCAGTATAAAATCATCATTAAATATTTGGTTTATCATAAATGTTAAATTCTAACAAAAATTTATAGTTAAAATTTAATTGTCGTTAGATATATATAGCGAAAGAGTTGTAAATTATGATTTCCTGAAATAGTGAAACAAATTAAGGGAAAGAGAGGGGTAAGAATGGAATTGTGGGGAACAATGGATTTTGGTGGAGAAAAGAAAATTAATAAAATCATTCTCGTACTAACACAATGCTTAAGCTTATCAAGATCGTTTAAAACATGACAGGAAAGGTAGAGCTGTTTAACACAAAACAAACGTTTTAAAACGGAAAGTGGGACCTTCTACTTTTGACTACTTTTTTCGCAGATTTACAGCTGTAAGTAGTCCAAATCCATAGCCTCACTCACTTGAATCAACGGCTCCAATCAACCATCTCAAAAGAACCCTGTTAAAAGAAACCCACTTAAAATAACCAGTTTCAAGATGACTTCAACGTCTTCCACGTAGGATGGCCCCACTCCCAGCCTGTAAGAATCTCACGTGATTCCAGTTGAATCCCTTTGACTTTTTACTATAATCCAACAAAACCAACCCCCCTCACTCTTCTTTTAGGAGCGTGACTCTCACTAACTTAAATTATTGCGCATCTAAAATCATTTTGTTTTCTTGAGATTGAAGCTTATTTTTTCATAATCGACAAAACAAAACAATGCACCATCCATTAAAATCATTTCACGTGTCAATTTTTTTTTTTTACCATTACTGAAGTTAATTGTAATTCCAAAAAAAAAAAAAAATAGTGAAAGTTGATATTTTCTTGAAATAAAGCGCAGTTTGGTTCAGTTAATTGAGGAACACGTGCTTTACAAAACTTGGGGATTAAACAGCCATAATCTGAACGGATCGATATCATCATTGCATCGTAGCCGCCCACGTGGCGATGTTTATGGAATTTGGAGTGTTATTGTGGACCTGTGATGTAACTTTAGCGAGAAGCAGTTGGGCAGTTGAAATTACAGCTGGCTGGCAGAGCGAGGGAACTCTAACGCACCGACTTGAACTGGCTGGATTCAAGAATTTTCAAGCAGCCAAATCAAAAGTAAAAGCATGAAGCTGAAGCAGTTTTTTTTTTTTTTTAGTTTCTACCAGGACCCCAAATCCAATAATCAGCCCTTGGTTGTTGAAAAGTGGGACCATATATATGACCCTCTCTGATTGATATATTTAATAGAATTTCAGCCACTTGATCATGTGGGACCAACGCCAAAACTGTTCCCTTCCAACCCATTTGCCGGTCGGTCTGGTTTGGTCGAATACAAATACAAATACAAATACCGCGTGGGAACAAGTAGTTTGTCCTCTTCTGTAGAAAGTCAAACAATTTGTTATAGTGGTTGATCTTATTGTTGGCGTTTCCTTTGCATAACATAAACGACATTATAACCAATTTTAATTTCCTTTTCTTCTTATATAAATTGTGTGTCATGCTTTAATAAAAAGTCTACGTACAATAACCGTATCTCCAAACGTTGAATGTGTTTTCCGCTCACTAAACAAGATTGAATCCTTCTATTTGCATAAGACAATTTGGATGAACTTTTGTAAGAGAATTATTACTTATGAAACAGACAACAAGTGTTTGCACTATTTGTTTTAAAAATAATAATGTTTTCTTTATTATATACAAAATTTATGATTTTAAATAAAATTATACTATAGAAGAGGGAGAAACATACATACAGCAAAGAGATAAAATAAATTTTTAGAAGAGAATCAGGAAAATGGTATTTTTGTAATAAAATAGAATTTATTAAAATAATAACAAATTCAAATCAATAGTAGGCTTAAGTAGTAGGATTTAGAAATATTTTCAACTGGAATATCCTGACCTTTTCCAAATACAAGAGTTATAACAAAGGTGATGATAGCCAGTAGAAATTGACCGCCAGCGGTTTAGGATTAGGAACACTCTTGTTGAACGAAGCTATCAATGACCCAACCCAAATTAAACTGATATTGGGCTTTTTCATTTTGATCATATCCGACACAGCTCTTTACAATCAATTACTCTGTTTGGGCCTTTTCTCGGCCGAAGCTTTTCCTATTGTATAGTTCATCTTCAGTATAATGAAGGTCAAAAGTTTTATGTATCTAGAATGGAGAGTAATCAAATAGATAGTAATATTTGGCATTACTGGTTAATAAATTGGTTTAAGGGTAGCCTTTGCTCTTATAGGTCCTTTGAATGATACATATGTATTAAAGTTGAATTTGTTTAATGTCGTTAAGTTGGTAGACTGTTATGGTATATATATGTGATTAGACTCCTTCCTCCCTTGAGTTAGCTTTTAAGAGTGAGTTATACTCAAACCCATTTTATCAATGTGCAAGACTAATTATTGATGAGATCAGTAGCAAATGTGGCTCATTTGTTATTATGTAGCCCATTGAGCACAGATTTATCATTTGTCATCAGGATATTCCATGCCGTAGTGTTTGTGTTTTGTGGCTTTAATTCAGTTTTTCGGCATTGCAGCTCATATTTAAAGGAGATTAATAATCTCACATATTATATTTGCCTAAGCTAGTTTGTTTTTTCGGGATGAAGGAATGGGTAGTTTTCTTGGTGTTACTTATGTTATCCTTTTAATGCCGACAAATCAGGTTTGACTTTGGTTACCAGGTTTTTAAATAATTGAATGATCGCAATCGCGTGAAGAGACAGTCTAACTAGGCGATCCATCTACCGGCAAAGACCATAAAGAATTTATAAGACAAAACCAGTATTTGTACTCACTACTTAGTGGAAAGTAAAACAATATATAAAGGATAACCTGACCTTACGTTAAGGTAGTACAGAGATTATAAAGTGGTGGGAATAAGATATGGCTGGTGCCTGGTGGCGGGCTGCCTGAAAGGGAAAGATAAAGACGAGGTATTGTTTCGTCGGTTGAGGGAAGAAAATGCTTGGTTCAGGTGCATCCTCCTTTTGGCCTTTTTCTTGCATATATTTTCTAACTGATATTTTCCCCATGTTGCACTGTCCATCTACCTGTTTTAGATGCGACTTTTCATTAACCAAAGTTAAGGTGTCGACAACTGACAGAGATTATGATTTGGAGAGACATGGTTTCTGTGATATGTATAATTGATATATATTTCGACATATCCGTATCATATATGATTCCTTAACAGTATATTTTTTGGCAGACTTTCAAAATGGAGTCCACATCCACTACTTTAATCACCACGACTTTGAGGTAAATTGAAAGGTTTTTCCTTGATTGAATTTGGCGCAAAGATTCATTGATAAGGTGCCTCCGAGAGCTAAATGATAAAAATTAAACTTGATTTTGTTTATTTCAATATCACAAAATACTTCAGGTCTAGAAGCATTATCTCATTGAAAGAAACATATCAATTCTGCAGATAAACATTAAATTAAAATATTAGACATGACTGACAACATATTGAAGTTTTTCTTTTTTTCCCCCAAGCTTTGTGTTGGTATAAAATTTTGCAGCAACCAACAAGATCCGATCGACCTTGTCGGGATCGGAAACAATGTGTACGTGATTACAGATAACCAACAGTAGATGAATAATAAATGTAATAAAGTAAATGGCAGAAAGATTTTTAAAGTGGCTCGGCAAATTAGAACTTGAGCCTACGTCCATTGTTATTTTATTGTTTTTGAGAGCTTATAAAGAACAGTATAATTCCTAGGAAAATTTGCTTAGAAAAATTGCCCAACCCCCTTGAAAACAAGTTATGATGAGTTTATAGAGCACTCATTTATATGACAGAGTTGAGATAAGATTCAAATACGTAGGATTAGGAAGTTACATGATCTTCGGCAAATCTAAGTCAATCTGAATATCTTCCTTCCAAATTGAGCCAATCTAAATATCTTCTCTCATAATATGAAATTATCCTCTCTGGATTGACCGCACAACAATAGTCCCCAAGTTTTTGGAGTGCGTAATCACGCTTAAAAAACTCATGTCTTTGATCTGGATGGTTGTCACACTATAGGCTACAGTCTCGAACTGAAGAGCTTGAATTATGCTTACCGCGATCTAAGAGATCTGAGAGATCCTAAACACATGATCTCAAGCGAATGAGCGAGCTTATGAGATTAATCAGAGAGCATAAAGAGCTTGATCTGAGAGCATATAAAGCTTAATTTGAGAGCATAAAGAGCTTGATTTGAGAGTGCGAGGAGTTCGATTAGAAAGCGCAGAGAGCTTGATTTGAGAGCATAGCTCAATCAAAAAGTATGGAGAGCTTGATCTGAGAGCATAGCTCGATCAGAAAGCATGGAGAGCTTGGTCTGAAAGCATAGCTTGATAAGATAGCATGGAGAACTTGATCTGAGAGCATAGCTCAATCAAAAAGCACGGAGCGCTTGATCTGAGAGCATTGCTCGATCAAAAAGCATGAAGCGCTTGATTTGAGAGCATTGCTCGATTAAAAAGCATGAAGGGTTTGATTTGAGAGCATAGCTCGATTAGAAAGCATGGAGAGCTTGATTTGAGAGTATTGCTCAATCCAAAGCTTGATCTGAGAGTATGACTCGATAAGAGATCATGGAGAGCTTGATCTGAGAGCATTGTTCGATCAGAAAACATGGAGAGCTTGATCTGAAAGTATTGCTCGATCAGAAAGCATGAGAAACTTGATCTAAGAGCATTGCTCGATCATAAAGCATGGAGAGCTTGATCTGAGAGCATTGCTCGATTAGAAAGCATGGAGAGCTTGATCTGAGAGCATTGCTCAATCAGAAAGCATGGAGAGCTTGATCTGAGAGCATTGTTCGATCAAAAAACATGGAAAGCTTGATCTGAGAGCATTGCTCGATCAGAAAGCTTGATCTGAGAGCATTGCTCGATCAGAAAGGTTGGAGAGCTTGATCTAAGAGCATTGCTCGATCAGAAAGCATGGAGAGCTTGATCTGAGATCATTGCTCGATCAGAAAGCTTGGAGAGCTTGGGAGCTAGAGAGCTAGAGAGCTAGCGAGCTCTTTATAATATTAGAGATTTGAGCATGCGATCTGAGCGATCTAACCACGCGATTTGAGAACTCTGATTTGGAACAGGCTTCAGTATTTTGATGATAACTTGAGCTGTAGACCTCATAGTTGGATGATTCTTGGATCGTCAGAAAGCTAACTCGAAGGGTTACAATTCTTGTTTCTTAGCCAGATTTAGACTTTATCCTACTTAGATTTTCACATTTGATGACGTGATTCTAGATTAAGAAGCTGGGATTTGTTGAAGAAGTCGAGACTTGAGGGAAAAAACATGGAGAGCTGCTGTGAATCAGGCCCCCCTTCTAGTGCCAAAATGTTGGTACACAATTTTGCACCAATCAGCGAGATTCGATCGACCTTGCTGGGATCAGAACTGATGTACGCGTGATTACTGATAACCAGCACTGGATGCATAATAAATGCAATAAAGTAAATGGCAGAGATATTTTTAAAGTGGTTCGACAAGTTAAAACTTGAGCCTACGTCCATTGTTATCTTATTGTTTTTGAGAGCTTACAAAGAACAATATAATTCCTAAGAAAATTTGCTTAGAACAATTGCCCAGCCCCGTTGAAAATAAGTTATGGGTTTATATAACACCAATTTACATGATAGAGTTGAGATAAGATTCAAATACGTAGGATTAGGAAGTTGCATGATCTTCGGCTAGGATTAGGAAGTTGCATGATCTTCGGCTATCTTAGTTGGAATCTAAGTTAATCTGAATATCTTCCTTCCAAATTGAGCCAATCTAAATATTTTCTCTCCGGATTGACCGCAAAACACTTTGTATGCACAAATCTCAACTGAATCAACATTTATGAAGCTTAATTTTCAATGAACAATCGTCTAAGTATTTTAAGATTAGACAAAGGGATCTTGAGATATTTGCTTTTCACATGTTTAGTAAGGAAATATATAAAATTATATATCCAATCCATTAGCTATGAAAAAGAAAATGGGACTGAAAAGCTGGAGCAATTTTTTTTTTTTTTTTGTTTTTGTTTTTTTTCAATGCCACTCTTGACAAATTAATTTTAATTCACAATATAACCTAGGATGGTACACATGAAGTCTAATGAGTTCTTACAAAGAAAATACTCAATTCTGGCCCTGGTGCACCATCTGGATTTATCATATACAAAGCTTCGGAATCCTTGGATCCAACCACCCTCTCAAATCTTCCTCTCATGTACGTCAATTCTCCATCTGCTGTTTCCTTCTCGTTTGGGCTTGGAAGAACACCGGCACCCATTGATACACCTCGAAGAAGTTGCATCACATGAAGCTCGTCGTCGGACATCGTCTTCCTCCTAATAGAGTATCCAACTTTTCTTCCATTACAATACACAGCCCAAACGTACTCTTCCAATAGTTTCTTCTTATGAGTCTTGGTTTCACTCTCCAGAGCGATTCTGACAATATCAGAAGCCATTTCTTTTTGAAGTGCGCTTGTAAGCATAGGAAGCTCTATCACAAACATTGGCAAGCAATGAGGATCCTCTTGTATGGCTAAACTAACTCTGCCTTTACGAAAACCAAAAATAGTACCGGTTGTAGCATTGTCCTTGAGTAAAGGTTTGCGTGGTCGACCCAATAGTGCAACCATCTTGCAGCCTGAGGTTAGCATAGGAAAGAGCTTGAACATTTTTAAGAGACCTCCTCCGGTGGACTTGGAACGCTTCTCATGATGATGAACTGTAGTAGTATGGCGGAGCAAAGATAGGATTGCTGGATTGTCCATTTGATAGTATGGACTAGAATGCACTGGAGGCATCTTAGATAAAACTTACTAAAAGAAAAATCAAGAAACTAGAGAGGTAGAAGAATAAGGTTTAGTTGAGTGGTACAAGATACATATAGAAGGAAAAGGAAATGAAGTAGGGAGTGAGTTAGGAAGAAGGTGGTTGGTCACTCGGTTAGAGTGTCCTTGGAATCTTTTTTTTTTTTAAGGGGGGAAGAGGAAAGAGAAAATTAATATACAAGTTGGGTTTAATTTTAGAGAGAAAAGGAAAATGAGAATGGGACCAAAGGTTGATGTGACCAAGTTTAGTGATGAAAAAGAGAAGGGGTTGAATGCGATAAGATAAGAGGGTCGGACCACCAGTTGTAGGGAATGGGAAGGGAAGAAAAGAAAAAACTCTAAATGATGAAAAAAGGACTCTGGTAATGTTTGTTTAGCATGTGCCTCTCTGATCATTACATAAGGCATCAACGTCACTTGCTTTATACTTTTTTTCCAAACTCTCCCTAATTATTGAGGTGCAGCTCATCTTTCCTCTAACATTTCTCCTGTTTATCCATGGAAATTTGCCTTTATTGCTTGTCATTCAGACTTTTTTTTCTGCCTTCACTTTATCCTTGTCAGACCTTCATACTCTTATTCGTCACTCTAAAAGCAATTCAGGCTACACAAATGACAAAGGGTTACTTGTTATAATATCCACACTTCACAGTTCTTTTGTAATGTTCTTCTTGTTTGATTTCAATTAACGTTACATAGATAAACACAATTTAACTAATTATTTGTTGCTTAAAGCAATATGAAGCAATTAAGCAGAATGTCCAAAACAGGTCAGTGTCGTAGATGGGGTCCTTCGACATGACTAATTAGAAAGAAGGCCACCAATGTCGGCGAAAACATGCTAAATCGAATTTGCCGCGTAAGGCATCTTGATGATATACATCTACATATACAAAGTCATGATTTAATCACTAGGCTTGACAAAGTGATCCCATTTTACCAAGAACCGTCTTGTTAATAACGTGGTATGTTTGATACTGATGAAACTCAATCACCAACGTTTGCTTTTTCTGCAAACTCAGATGCACAGTTTCAATTCTAATCCTACGAGAGTGTTCCATGGGGCAAAACATGGACCATTTCAATAATAACTGTAGTTTGTAAAGCAACACAACAACAATAAATGGTTGACAATAACAAAAGCAAATGAGCAGAAAAATTTGAGTGACTGGTCGTGGTTTGAATCGTCCTAACTATGTGAGGCCCTCCAAGCTGGACATGCCGAATCATCAAGAACGTGCATTGATTAGACTAAAGTTATGTTCATTTAAGCGCATTAGTTGGTGGCGTGTTAGCTATTCTTACCAAGAAGAGTTGAATTTGATCTGAATCTGATGCAACATAAAGCTAAATGAACTGATAGACTGAAAAAAAAAAAGTGATAAGGCCGACGAATAATGGACACTTTACCCATAATTGATTTGTTATAAAGTTGATTGAAAGGATAGATTTGACATTTTTGGCTTGGGAACTCGTTTGATCATATGATTTAACTTTACTAGTTATCATTTATTTTTTACCTGGTTTTTAAAGTCTTTTTGTTTTTGACATTATACAAAAGTGATCTAAAATGATTCTACAATCTAAGCTGCTTTGTCGTTGCCTCCAATTATTGTGGCGGTGATGGGATTGCCTCATTCTGCATCACTTTGTTTTGCAGTTCTATGTGACACTTAACCAGAATTGGTTCTGCAATTATGCTTTATATTTATTATTAGAAAAATCTTAATAATGTTAACATCTTACATTAATATTATATAACTTAGGAGAAGGCCCGATTACAAATTACCTTACGAGCATCCATCAAGAAACAACAAACTAAGAGCATTTATTTTTATACATATACATGTGCAACTGCGTTCCTAAACTTCTATGATTAGAATAGAATGGACAGACAGATGGGCAGCCGCACATTTATTTGACATAGTCTATATACCCAAAGGGCAGTGCTTTCAGTAATGGTTGCTGCTTTTGAATATGCTTATTTTGTAGATATGAAATCTGGTTATGCTTCTGCTTCTGGCTAGCCTACTGTTTCGGAACCAGATGACCTGAATGAGTGATGCTATGGGTACTAATGGATGAGTACTAATATGTGTACTAACTAAAGTATAGTACCCGTACTATGCGCATAGTACGGGTACTATACTTTAGTTAGTACACATATTAGTACTCATCCATTAGTACCCAAAGTATTATTCGACCTGAATTTGGTACCTTTCCAAAGATATTTTAAGCAGATATCTGTGAAAGAAGTAGTGGGAAAGGGTGATATTTTTTGTATTTGGAAGAAATATATTGAAATGTTTGAACCTCGAGTATAATACTTTGTCAGTGAGCCTTATCCATCTTCATAATTTGGCCACTGGTAGGTGGATAACTGTTTCCATTAATAAATTAATATACACTTAAAAGAGGTTTGTTTACCCTAAAAAAACTGTGAGCTAACAGGGACGGGACCCTTCAGGCAGACAATCCCATATGGATGTTTTTATTTGAGTACTGAATAAAATTGAGCTTCTCACAAAGCAACCCATGGCGTCCCATATGTATCTCATTAAGGAAGCCTTTGTTTAATTTGGGTACTGAACAATAAATATATTTGAAAAGTAATACTAAGATGCTCTTGCTTGCTCAAGTACATGAAAAATCTTGCAACTTAATTAGCTGTTCATCACTATATTTCAAACCTATTTTCTATTTTCTAACTTCTTCTCTAAGATATTATATTTGATATTTCAATGCCACTCTTGACAATTAATTTTAATTCACAATATACCCTAGGATGGTACACATGAAGTCTAATGAGTTCTTACAGAAAATACTCAATTCTGGCCCTGGTGCACCATCTGGATTTATCATATACAAAGCTTCGGAATCCTTGGATCCACCCACCCTCTCAAATCTTCCTCATGTACGTCAATTCTCCATCTGCTGTTTCCTTCTCGTTTGGGCTTGGAAGAACCGGCACCCATTGATACACCTCGAAGAAGTTGCATCACATGAAGCTCGTCGTGGACATCGTCTTCCTCCTAATAGAGTATCACTTTTCTTCCATTACAATACACAGCCCAAACGTACTCTTCCAATAGTTTCTCTTCTGAGTCTTGGTTTCACTCTCCAGCGCGATTCTGACAATATCAGAACCTTTCTTTTGAAGTGCGCTTGTAAGCATAGGAAGCTCTATCACAACATTGGCAAGCAATGAGATCCTCTTGTATGGCTAAACTAACTCTGCCTTTACGAAACCAAAAATAGTACCGGTTTGTACATTGTCCTTGATTAAAGGTTTGCGTGGTCGACCCAATAGTGCAACCATCTTGCAGCCTGAGGTTAGCATAGGAAAGAGCTTGAACATTTTTAAGAGACCTCCTCCGGTGGACTTGAAACGCTTCTCATGATGATGAACTGTAGTAGTATGGCGAGCAAAGATAGGATTGCTGGATTGTCCATTTGATAGTATGGACTAGAATGCACTGGAGGCATCTTAGATAAAACTTACTAAAAGAAAAATCAAGAAACTGGAGAGGTAGAAGAATAAGCTTAGTTGAGTGGTACAAGATACATATAGAAGGAAAAGGAAATGAAGTAGGGAGTGAGTTAGGAGAAGGGGTTGGTCACTCGGTTAGATTGTCCTTGGAATCTTTTTTTAAGTGGGGAGGGAAGAGAAATTAATATACAAGTTGGGTTTAATTTTAGAGAGAAAGGGAAAATGAGAATGGAGACCAAAGGTTGATGTGACCAATTTATTGATTGAAATGATATGTGCGTGATTACGGATAATCAACAGTGGATAAATAATAAATGCAATAAAATAAATGGCAGAGAGATTTTTAAAGTGGTTTGGCAAGTTAGAACTTGAGCTTATGTCTACTGTTATTTTATTGTTTTTGAGAGCTTACAAAGAACAGTATAATTCCTAGGAAAATTTGCTTAGAACAATTGCCCAACCCCCTTGAAAACAAGTTATGATGGGTTTATATAGCACCCATTTACATGATAAAGTTGAAATAAAATTCAAATACGTAGGATTAGGAAGTTGCATGATCTTTGACTACCTTAGTTGGAATCTAAGTCAATCTGAATATTTTCCTTCCAAATTGAGCCAATCTAAATATTTTCTCTCATAATATGGAATTATTTTCTCCTGATTGACCGCACAACAATAGCCCCCCAGTTTTTGGAGTGCGTAATCACTCTTCAAAAACTCGTGTCTTTGATTTGGATGGTTGTCGCACTATAGGCTGCAGTCTCGAACTGAAGAACTTGAATTATGCTTGCCGCAATTTGAGAGATCTTGAACATGTGATCTCAAGCGAATGAGCGAGCTTATGAGATTAATCAAAGAGCATAAAGAGCTTGATTTAAGAGCATATGAAGCTCGATCTGAGAGCATAAAGAGCTTGATTTGAGAGTGCGAGGAGTTCGATTAAAAAGCGTGGAGAGCTTGATCTGAGAGCATAGCTCGATCAAAAAGTATGGAGAGCTTGATCTGAGAGCATAGCTTGATCAGAAAGCATAGAGAGTTTGATCTGAAAGCATAGCTAGATCAAAAAGCATGGAGCGCTTGATCTGAGAGCATTGCTCGATCAGAAAGCATGAAGCGCTTGATCTGAGAGCATTGCTCAATCAGAAAGAATGGAGGGTTTGATCCGAGAGCATAGCTCGATCAGAAAGCATGGAGAGCTTGATATGAGAGCATTGCTCGATCCAAGAGCTTGGAGAGCTTGATCGAGAGCATGACTCGATCAGGCAACATGGAGAGCTTAATCTGAGAGCATTGTTCGATCAACAAGCATGGAGAGCTTGATTTGAGAGCATTGTTCAATCAGAAAGCATGAGAAGCTTGATCTGAGAGCATTGCTTGATCTGAAAGCATGAGGAGCTTGATCTGAGAGCATTGCTCGATCAGAAAGCATGGGGAGCTTGATCTGAGAGAATTACTCAATCAGAAAGCATGAAGAGCTTGATTTGAGAGCATTGTTAGATCAAAAAGCATGAAGACCTTGATCTAAGAGCATTGCTTGATCAGAAAGCTTGGAGAGCTTAATCTGAGAGTATTGCTCGATCAGAAAGCTTGGAGAGCTTGATCTGAGAGCATTGCTTGATCAGAAAACATGGAGAGCTTGATCTGAGAGC